TGGGACCTGCTCTGGCAGGGGGTTGGACTGGATGATCTCCAGAGGTCCCTTCCAACCCCATGTCATTCTGTGATTCCGTTTGCAGAGGCTTTTCTGTCTCACTGGGTCTGTGAGCAGCCTGGCTTGCTCTAGCACCGCTCCGGTGTTTGTAAACAGCCGCCTTAAAATACATCGAGCAGGATGTGGGGGCATCACGTGAACGTGCAGCTTCTTGTCAAGGCAACGGGCCCGACTTTGCCCTCTTTGAGGCCAGGGCAGAGGAGAATAACTCACCCAGCTCATTTCCACCAGCCTGCCCCGAGCATCGCCAAGGACAGCTCAGCATAGGCACCTCCGCTTCCCACCTACGCAGTGGGAAGAGCACGGGGACAAGGACCGCGCTGCCCAGGGATGCTGGATGCTGTGGAAATGACTTCCTGCCTCTGCCAGAGCTAATTTCGCAGCCGACACCAGCTGCTTCCCAAAGGGGTACACATAACCCTGAACCGAGCTGCTCTGAAATGACTCAGCCAAGGCAAACCCTTCCTCCCAACACCTCCTTCTGCTGGTGTTTGACATATGACCTGGCAGAGGGAGCTTGCTAATAATACCTACATTTTATATAGCACTTTTCTTCGGGAAATCTCAGAGGTTTTACACAGAATTCAAGTCTATTTGGAGCTCAAGGCTTCTAAGGATGTGCCAAGGACAGAGAGTTTTGGTACCCGGGAAGGTAGCATGGGAAGGGTCTATTGCCAGGACAGATCTGCTAAACCGATCTAGCAAGGAAGTAATGATGGCTGTGGTGAATTTGCCATCGTTAGGGTCCAGAGTGAACACCCCAGAGATGATCAGGGGGTTCTTCTCTGTCACAGCCATGGTTTCAGGTGAGCCAGCAGAGTTTAGGTGCTACAGCGCCATAGTGTGATGTGCCCCAGAGAGTGGCAAGAGCACGATGTGGCTGTGAGAGCACCTCATGCCATGCCAGGCCAGGAACCCCATCCTATTACGGGAAGACTAAGCCCTGTCCCTGCAGCCAAAGCAGGTGCCCAGCCCTGGGGCAAGTCCAGAGAGGGAACCAGCGGGGCCTGAGGCGCTGGGGACGGCTCAGAAATAGCCCCGAGCTGCGCAGAGGGACGCCTGGGGAGAGCTGGTGCGCACACTGCAGGCTTTGTCTGGGGCAGGTCGGCTGGGTGTGTGCTTCCTGGCATACAATTCCCAGATTAGCAGGAGCCCGGCTGCCAGCAGCTCCTCCAACCCGGCCGTGAACGAGCTGCTCGGGGCTGGGAACCACCGCCGAGGTCAGTGGTTCAAGAGCCCAGAGCTGCCAAGGAGCTCAGGGTAAAGATGGGATGGGACCGGGCAAGGACACAGGGATGGGCATCTCCTGCCACGTGCCCAAGAGAAAATGAAGGGCAGGACCCCCCAACCCCTCTCTGATACCTCTGCAAGAGGTTGGTTTTGCCTTTCAGCCCCGAGGGGTGGAAGCCACCACTGGCCAAACCAGACAAGGCAATCTCTCCTCTCCTTTGGCAGCCAGAGGGGAAGAGAGGCAGGAACCTGTCTCTTCTTACCCCAAAATTAATAAATAAAAACCTTAAAAGCCAGAGGGAATAACTAATGTGGAGAATATGAAAAAGCGAGAGGGTGAAAGGGTTTCAAGACAGAACTTTTTAATAAGGGAAAGTGAATAATCAGAGGGAGAAGTGAGAACAATTTATTCACACTAAATGCTTAATCTGAAAAAAAAAATATATATAAATAATTCAAAGCAAAGCCAGGCTGTGCCAGCCAGGGGAGTGAGACTCATGGGTCCTTCCTGAGCAACAGGAAAGGAGAAAGGAAAACTGGAAACATGTTCACTAAAGGGAAATGTCAGGGAAAGAAGAGGAAAAAGCTGGAGCTGAGGACCTCTTTAGGACAGGGCTAAGAGTGGCGGGTACCAGGGTGGGGGGCAGAAAAGAAGGGCCAGGGTCACACTCTCCTCCAGGGGGGCTGCCGATGTAGGGTGGTCCATCGGGGGCTGCTCCCCACCTCTCACTGGATCTGGGGAAGGAAAAGGATGGACTTCAGGGTCCGATGCAGAGCAGCACTGCTTCCCACCAGCCCTGCCACCCACTCCCACCGCCTGATGGGGCTCCCAGTGCAGAGCCAGACCCCAAAAGGGGCTTTTTCCACCCATCACCTGCAGCTGCAGGATGGCATGGGGCTCTGGGCACCTCCAGCATCTCTCACCACAAGAGCTGGACCCATGCTGGGTGTGTTGCAACCACCAGCGTGAAGCAGAGCTGCTCCAACACCCCACTGGCACCCAGCTGCTTGCACCCCTCCAGCCCCAGCCCCATTTACTGCCTCGAAGAAGCGGGACACCAGCAATTCCCCCCTGACTGGGGCTCCAGGAGCCACGCCAGCCGTGTCCCTGCCGTTATCCGCCCGTGCTGATGAATCGGCCTCTGTTTGGAGACACCCCCTCGGAGGCTGAAAGGAGCTACTGTGTGGGCTCTGGGGATCAGACTGTGGCTGGTGGGTTCAGACGGAGAAGCATCCCCTGTTAAACCCCGGGTGCCGTCCTAAATGCCCAGAGCCTGTGCCTGCCCACACACTGCAGAGCGAGGTGGCTGCCGAGCGAGCCCAGAGCAGAAAAAAAAATAAGAATAAATGAACCAAGCAAACAACCCGGTAAAAGTCCTGGCCCGCACGGCATGAGACAAAGAAACTGCCTCCACACTCCGATTTCCAACACTATTTGGGAATTTCCCATCCCCCTGATGCAGCTACTGAAGCCAAGACAACACATCTGGTCTCTGCAGGAGGGAGGAGATGGGCTGCTGTGAGCTGACCCCCACGTACCCAGTGGGCAGTGAGGGCGAGCAGCCCCCCCAGGACCTCCCTCCCCACCTCCCAGACGTGCTCTTCCTGTGCATGGGGCGAAGGAAGTCGCTTTTTCCTCTCTCCCGGGCTGTCCCTGCCCTCGGGAGGAGAGTGCGGGGGTTCGGCTGCCCTCAGCTCACACCGTGAGGAGTGATGGCCACAGAAGGATCTGCCCTCACAGAGCCAGGCCTGAAAACTCCCCGCCTTCCCTCCGCCTGTGGACAGAGGGTTTCCACAAACAGTTGTCTAGAGCCCTTGTCAATCCCGATTCCAGAGGCATTCAGAAATACAGCACTCCGGAGGGGAGGAATTGGTAGGCGAGCCCTAGTATGAAAGGGGAAACTGAGGCAGGGAGTGCAGAACCTCTCTTCTCAAAGGGAAAACTTAAAACTAGGCTCATTTAATAAATAACCTCACTGAAAGATGCTGGTTTTTCTCCTGTAGAAGCCACTAGCTCTTCTAAAATGGATTTATGGACCTGGCACTGTAATTTTAAACATATTGGCCCAAGTGCCCTGCACATGGTCCCACAGCAGCTTGGTGGAGGAGGCAGAAATACAGCTGTGGTCACAGAGGACCACGGTGGCACGTGGTGCCAGGAGAGTTGCCCCATCCCTGTGCACCGATGGCCTTTTTCTCTTCTAGACTCACCTCAGGCTTTTCCAGGGGTTCCTCCTCCACCTGCTCCCAGCAGTACCCAGCTTCTCCCAAAGCAGCCACGGGCTTCTCCTGCTCTCTCTTCTGAAAACCTCGGTTAGAGAAAGAAATATGTCAGAGAGACAGACACCCCGAGCGCTGCAGCAAATTGGAATAGCACTTGGAATGTGTCCTCATGGCCAGGAACTGACCCCAGACGTTGCCTCCTTGGCCACTTCATCACAGACCTGCAAGACCTTTTTGAGCAGGTTGTCCCAAGGTTCTGGTGCTCAGAGAGGTCGTGCTCTCTGTGCTGACACACCAAGGGTCTGAGAGTCTTCTCAGGGTGCTCACAGGACCCCATGCTTCAGGAGGTGAAGTGGTATCTTTCTTACCTGTTAAGCAAAAATACCCGGGAGATCACAGCATGCCTCCCGGAGGGAAGAGATGGGAGCTCTGTTAATTAAAATATTTCATATCTAATGGGCAAAGTTGGAGGGAATGGTCTGGACAGAGCAATTCTGCGCTGGAGACAGAGTTGAAGAGGAGGAAGGTCTGGAAGCTCCTTCCCTCCCCTCTTGCTGGGAGCCCATATGATGACACTCACTCCCCCCCAGAGATTTATCAGCCCTCCCATAGACACACGCAGTCACAGGAACACCCCCCCCCTTCCCATATTTGTACAACAGATTATCAGAAGGTGTATTTATAAGTTATTTTGTCCTAAACAGATTATAGCTTGACAGCTCTTCCAATGCCTGAAAAACACAAGCTGGTTTATGCTGGCTTCTCCGGACACGGCAAAGGGACGGTTTGATTAACGTCCAACATGCTCCAATAGCTTTTATAGGAACAAAGCCTGGATCTGTTGGGGTTTTTTTAATCAATTTGATATATCTGGTGCATGCGAGAAGCATTTTGCCTGAAGCCTCATATTCTCTCTTCACCCAGAGCCCAGAGACAGCACAGCCGTGACAAGCCCTGTGTGGAGACACCCGTGGTGCTGGCACCGCAGACGTGCTCTGCAGGGACCTGGGGCATCACAGCTCCAGCCTCAGCCCCCCCGGGCACTGGGCACTTGCCACCATCCTCATCCTCCCACCCTGCCTGACTGGGAAAGGCGCCTTGCCTCCCTCAGCAACTCCAGAGGAGGAAACTCTGTGGATAAAACCTGATCAACACCAGGGGGTTTGGCTGCTCCTTCTCACAGTTGCAATTGCTCCCCATGCTGCAGCGTCCCTGGAGAGCCATCACACCCTGCTGCGGAGCCAGGAGAGCTGGACCAGTTCCCTCCTGCTGGGGACCAGCAGGGCAGCCCAGTTCCAGGGCAGCCAGGGGAGCAGAGAGCAATTTTCCCTTAGTCACATCCCTGGACAGTTAAGCAATGCTGGGGTGAGCTGGACTGAGCCATGGGCTCGTGGTCAGACTGTGCAACCCACGGCCACCCACACTCCAGCAGCCTCGGGGCAGAGGTTGACGTCCTGGTTCTACCAAGGGTTTGCAGGAGATGAGCTTGCCCACCCCTGCGTGGGGTCACCAAACCTGTATCAGAGAATGACGGACTGTTAAGCTTGCCCACCCCTGCGTGGGGTCACCAAACCTGTATCAGAGAATGACAGACTGTTAGGGGCTGGAAGGGACCTCCGGAGATCATCCAGAGAGCAGGTTGGACAGGAACACGTCCAGGTGGGTTTGGAACATCTCCAGAGAAGGAGACCCCACACCATCTCTGGTGTGGCAGCCTTTTCCAGGGCTCTGCCACCCTCAAAGTAAAGTTTCCAGAACAAAAGGAATTTCCCGTGTTCTGGTTTGTGCCCGTTGTCCCTTGTCCTGTCACCACTGAGAAGAGTCTGGTCACAGAATCACAGAATCTTCTAGGATGGAAGGGCCCTTAAAGATCATCTTGTCCAACCGTCAACCTGACTGACAAAAATAGACACCCACACAGCAAACAAGAAGCGTCATTATCACTAACCCATACCTCCCAGCACTACATCAACCTGTCTTTTGAACACCTCCAGGGATGGTGCCTCAACCACCTCCCTGGGCAGCCCATTCCAATGGCTGAGAACCCTTTCAGTGAAAAATTTTTTCCTAATATCCAGCCTGAACCTCCCCTGGCGCAACTTGAGGCCATTTCCTCTTGTCCTGTCGCCTGTGACTTGGGAGAAGAGACCGACCCCCATCTCTCTACACCCTCCTTTCAGGGAGTTGTAGAGAGCAATAAGGTCTCCCCTCAGCCTCCTCTTCTCCAGGCTGGTCCCATCCTCTTGCCACCCATATTGCTCGGCATTGATGAGTCCCCTCTCAGCCACCTTCTCCCCAGGCTGAGCAGCCCCAGGGCTCCGGAGGTGGATGGAAAACCTCCTCGGCCCCTGCAGAGGTGGTCCCTGGATGTGCCCCATCCTCCTCTCACCCTGCGGGAGCCAGGGTGTCCCCGAGGGCACCCAGGGGTGTCCCTGTCACCCGGCGGGGCTCTCCCGGCTGGGCTCGGCTCGGTTGGCAGTCGGAGAGTGCCACCTGGTGCTGCGAGGAGATGGCTCTCCCCGGCAGGTCCCCGCAGCTCTCCCCGAGGGTTGGGGGGTCACCGGGGGGCCCGGAGCTCACCTCCCCGCCGGGACCGCGTCCGAGGGGTCTGGAGCCGGGGGGAGCAGGACCGGAGTTGCAGGTCTATTCCCCGCCGCATTCAAAAGCGGCTCCTCTTCGCCTTCCAGCTCCTTCGAGCTTCCTGGGGCCTGAGGCTGCAATGGGGGAGGAAAAAGGAAAAAAGATGATGTACAGAGACATTTTGTCAGCTCTGACAACAGCTTGATCCTGATGCAACACGAATTCCATTGACCAATTTTTGAAAATAAAACCAATTTCTACCTCTCTTTCCCCCCACAATGCCAATTTGTCATAGAATCGTCTAAATTGCAATGCCAATTTGTCATAGAATCGTCTAAATTGGATCATCGAGTCCAACCATCAACCCAGCACTGCCAAAACCTCCACTAAACCATGTCCCTCAGCCCCATGTCTACCCGGCTTTTAAATACCTCCAGGGACGGTGACTCAACCACTGCCCTGGGCAGCCTGTTCCAATGTTTGATAATCCTCTCAGTGAAGAAATTTTTCCTAATATCCATCCTAAACCTCCCCTGGTGCAACTTGAAGCCATTTACTCTTGTCCCATCACCTGTTCCTTGGGAGAAGAGACCGACCCCACCTCGTTACACCCCACTTTCAGGGAGTTGTAGAGAGCGGGAGGTCTTCCCTGTCACCCACAGATCTCAGGGGGTTTCATGCAATTGAGATGTCTCTGGGCTCAGATGGGAAACTGAGGCAAGTGGGGAAAATGGTTGGCTCAAGGTCACAGAGGGAGGGAGTGACAAAACCCAGCAGACATCTGGTCTCCAGGCTCCTACAACCCTAACCATTAACTTGGCTCCTGTCTCCCGCATTTTGCCAGGCAGAGGCAGGATCTGTAGCCTGGTTATGCCATATAGAAAGGAAATCTATTAAAAAACCCAACTTTTTAAACAGCTTCAGGCAGCTCCCCAAGACTGCTCTTAAAGCACTGCCCTGGAGCCCCTCTTGGCTGTCTGGAACAAAATATTGACTATTTCTCAAAGAGCTGATTTAATGTGCTGCACCATCCAGCAGAGAGGGGGCCTAATTTGTCTCGTATCTACATCCTGCACCATTCACAGCCCACACCCACGCTCCGGCAGAACGGCTTTATTAAACCACCAACCCACCCGCCACCCCAGCTGCTTCCTGCAGCTCCACCAGCCCCTGTGTCCCTTCCTGCACCGCTCGGAGCCCTGACGGAGCAGCTGGAGCCTCTGTGCTGCCGCAGATTTGTTCCTCTGCTGCAAACCCGCCCTGTTTATTCTGCCTGGATTGGAGATGCCCATCCTGCCCCAGCCTTGGCCCCCTCTGGGCTTGCTAACACCATCTGCTTGGGGAAAGTCACCAGCACCCCTGACCTGACCCTCATCTCAGACAAAGACCTAGTCTGCAGGGTCAACCCTTGTTCTACTTGGGATCGACATTTTAGGGAAATCCAGCAGCTATTACAATGGGATTTTCAGGGATGGCAAGACAATTTTGCATGTACAGCTTGTTTCAGGACTGGTGGGTAAGAAGTTACCCCAATTAAACAGCCACAGTCACAGTGGGGTCCGTTAGAAGACCAGGAAGGGAATCCCAAAGGCTTGGCTCTCTATTTCACTCCCATCTATCCCACCTCAGCAAACATCCCAACACCATGTGTTACCCATCACTGACCAGCAGCAGCCTGAGACCATTCCCTGCTCAGCTGGAAAGGACCATGGAGGTCCAGAAGAGCTTCAAAGACACAGCTTGAAAGTCCACAGCCCCTGACATAGTACTGCCAGGGCTGTTTTAGTGTCCCCCATGCTGCTCCATCCCTATGCCTTTTCTAAAGCCTGAAGACACTTAGATCTGCCTGCACGTAGAGCCTTCTCAGGAGTGATCTCCACCTTAGCCCTGAGCTCCGTGTCCTTCCACCCACCTCATGTGAAGTCCATCGATGTCTGGTTGTGTTGAAGAGCATGTTCCCCTGGGACAGCTCTGCTGTGGGGGATCCTGCCCTGTCATCTGCTGGTTAAAACAAAGAAAACAGTGACTCCCCAAAGCTGGCACCTTCCTTCATGCTTGTCCTTGCACAGCAACCAACTGTGCCCCCAGTGGTGTGTCTACAAGAGGACATCGTGCCAGCTCCAGATCCTCTAGCACAGCGAAAAAAGGAATTACTGCCAGGCACGTCAGGCACTGAATTCAGCAGCCACCTGGCTGAAGTGCCCCAGCCCCTCACATCCCCTGGGCAATTTTCAGTGCCCTCTGCCCTGACCCTTGGGTATTCTCCCAAATGATGAGACTCCCTGGGCTATCCCCGTGGTTGGTCCTCTCTGGCTTTGATGCCAACATTTACTAGCAGAGAGCATGCAGCACTAGCCCCGGGGCTCATACACAAAAAACAGCATACAGGCTGGGAGAAGGGCTACCAGTCTAGCCCCGGGGCTCATACACAAAAAACAGCGTACAGGCTGGGAGAAGGGCATTCCTCAGGACTTCTCCCACCAACCAGCTGCCCCAGGCAGCCCTCAATCAGTGATGAAGGGGGATCTCCTTCATCGCTGAGATGTCCTCTCACCTTTCAGGAGCCGCTCTTTCTCACATTCAGCATCGAAGTCCACAAAAAACATTGGCTCAGGGCTTGCACTGCAGGTAACATCACCACCAGCACCCAGACCTTGGAGAAACTCATCCCTGGAGGCAAAGCAGAGTGAGGTATGTTCAAACAGAGCCCAGCAGCACCAGCACTGCAATTCCTGGCCCACCAGCGGCAGCATGAACACACTGGATCTGGCTGCACCCCTTGTCAGCAGCATGGAGAGGCCAAGGACTGCGAAGGGCTGTAACTTGGGTTTCTGATGGGTTCCATACGGGGCTGCTTGGGGACCTCTGGGAGGTAGGAGCAGCACAGGCAGCGGTGGGGATGGAGCCTGCCCCGAAGCTGTGCAGGTTCTGGAAACCAGCTGCAGCCTTAGGAAACACTGGGCTCCGTTCAATGTTTTAAGGCAGCAGGGGGAAAACTGGATTTTATAAAACCCAAATGAGCAGCTCTTTATAAAATCCAACTGAGCAGCCTCCTGCAAAACACCGGCTGCTTGGGATGTGACAAGACTGATGCAACCAAGCGGGCTTCTCCCTGTCCCTCTGGGGCACCTGCGCCTACGAGGACGTGCTCCCGTGATAGGGGCATGGAAGTGAGTGGGTCCCTTGGCCCCATGTCACCCACCCCCACCCCCCCCCACCACCAACGCTTACGTCTCCAGAGCTTTGTCACAAAAAGCTTCTGGCATGGCCGTCCCCTCCTGGCTGGCCAGCCCGTGGCCTGCGTGTGGCAGGGCTGGGCTACCGGCTGGCGTGTCCCCCACGTCACACGCCAGCTCCGTGTCGCTGGTGCTCCACGTCAGGCAGCTCCTGCTGGTGCTGCTCCCCAGGGAGCCGGCGAGGCTGAGCCCCCCCAGCTCCCCCAGCAGCGGCTCCGTGCTCTCCCCCTCCTCACCCTCCCAGGGCTCCCAGTATGGCGGCTGCTGGCCTGCCAGGTCCCCATCATGGCCGCCGCCATCCCCAAGGGCGCCCAGCTCTTGCTCCTCCACCCTGGGCTCCCCTCGCACGTTTCGCAGATGCCCGAAGAAGCTCCTGAGGAGGTGGAGCAGGGAGGGACGGCGGGGGGGCCGGGGGGCCATCAGGGCATCCATGGGGGCAGCCGGTGCCTCAACGGCTCAGAACCGGGTTTGAACCAAACGGTCCCCAACCGCCCAGACCCCAGAGCTGTGGCAGAGAGACAGTGACACGGGTCCAAAACAAGGCTGGAAGGGGGACAAATAGCACCCAGAGAGGGGCAAATGGCTCCCAGGGGGACAAAGGATGGAAAACCCAGGGCTGGGAGGGGGGATACAGAACAAGCACAACTCAGAGCTGGGGGAGAAGAGGGTCCCCCAAAGGTGAAGCCTTCCTTCCACCCCCAGTGACTCATTCCTGCAGCATTCCCACCTCTGCCACGGGTCGGCCAAGCCCGGAAATTTCACGCAAGGTCTCCTCCAGCAGCACAGCACCCCGGGCAAAGAGAGAAAGATAAAAAATTGCTACTTCTGCCAGCAGCAGCGGAGCAAACAGCTTTTAAAAGCAGCGTTTGCCATCGAACTGGAACAGCAGCAAACTCAAAGACCTGTTTCTCCCTCGGCCACTCAGGAACATTTCCAAGGGGTATTTTCCTGGGACCCCAGTCTCAGGCAGGGGTGGAATGTTCCCTGCAATGTTCCTGCACTTGACAGAGCCGTGCTGTCCCCACAGTGACACTGGTATAAAGCTGCTCCGGCTGATGTAACCCATCCCTCGCAGACACATGTTCCTGCACTTGACAGAGCCGTGCTGTCACGGCTGCTCTGGCTGATGTAACCCGTCCCTCACAGACACACAAGGGGTAACGGTTTTAAATGGGAAGAGGGGAGATATAGGTTAGATGCCAAAAAGAAATTCTTTGCTGTGAGGGTGGTGAGGCACTGGAACAGGCTGCTCAGAGAAGCTGTGGCTGCCCCATCCCTGGAGGGGTTCAAGGCCAGGCTGGATGGGGCTTGGAGCAACCTGCTGTACTGGGAGGTGTCCCTGCCCAGGGCAGCAGAGTTGGAACTCTGTGATCTTTAAGGTCCCTTCCAACTCTAACCATTCTATGATTCTGTGGTAGGTCTTCAGCCTTGCTTCTACACTAGCAGTCTCTTCTGGCTGTCCCTGCCTCGGGCAAAGAGAGAAAGATAAAAAATTGCTACTTCTGCCAGCAGCAGCGGAGCAAACAGCTTTTAAAAGCAGCGTTTGCCATCGAACTGGAACAGCAGCAAACTCAAAGACCTGTTTCTCCCTCGGCCACTCAGGAACATTTCCAAGGGGTATTTTCCTGGGACCCCAGTCTCAGGCAGGGGTGGAATGTTCCCTGCAATGTTCCTGCACTTGACAGAGCCGTGCTGTCACGGCTGCTCTGGCTGATGTAACCCGTCCCTCACAGACACACAAGGGGTAACGGTTTTAAATGGGAAGAGGGGAGATTTAGGTTAGATGCCAAAAAGAAATTCTTTCCTGTGAGGGTGGTGAGGCACTGGAACAGGCTGCGCAGAGAAGCTGTGGCTGCCCCATCCCTGGAGGGGTTCAAGGCCAGGCTGGAGGGGGGCTTGGAGCAACCTGGTCTGGTGGGAGGTGTCCCTGCCCAGACCAGTGGAGTTGGAACTCGATGATCTTTAAGGTCCCTTCCAACTCTAACCATTCTATGATTCTGTGGTAGGGCTTCAGCCTTGCTTCTACACTAGCAGTCTCTTCTGGCTGTCCCTGCCTTGCCTGGTGTCAGCCCATCCTCGGCTCAGCTAGCCCACAAGCTGCTGGCTGCAAGAATGGGGTTTTTTTCCCCCCCCTGAAAAAACCCTCGTCTAAATCTGCCATGTCATCATGACTGGTTGAAACCAAGAATCTCCCACCCTCCAGCTGCACCCTCCTGTTTCCTTTCCTCCTCCACCACCGCCAGGCTCCAGCAGCCGGCGGCGCCGGGCACGGCTCCTGCAAAGGACAGTCCGCAGCAAAAAGGGTGTTTTCATATCAGCCCCTTGCTCTTGCTGGCAAGAGAGGGCTGGGGATGCAGAGCGGAGAGCAGCCCCCTTTCCAGCAGCAGGGGCACGGATTTAGACTGCATCAACCAACTGGTGAAACCACATCCTAAAGCGCTACGTGAATCCTGAAAGCGGAGGCTCCTTCTCTGCCTCTGCCGCACATCTCTTATTTACCCCAGCAAATACATCTCTTTATTTACACCAGCAGAAGAGGCTGCCAGGGGAAGCAGGGAATGTTTCACATCAGCAACGGCAGTTGCAAAGCCAGAGAGGGAATTTTTTCCCTGTTGCCTCAACATCTCAAAGCCACTGCAATAGCAAAGCAGGCTGTCTCCAGACGTGCAGGATTTAGACTGCTCGTTAAATGATCTCCTAAATACTTGCTTGCCACTCATCATCCTTTTTGATGTCCATGTTGGTGCTTTCAAACTCATTTACCTCTATCCCTGATATCTCCCCCCTCTTTAACACCTTCCAGCAGCCATTTGGGGACACATCATGGTTTGAGTCCCCGCTCCTCACCCACAGCTCAGTCCCCACAAGGTCCTTGCTCTGCACACAGAGGTGTGCAGTCCTCCCCCTTATTTTCCACAAATGTTGCTGCTTGATGTGAAGCAGCTATGAATGTCATACACCTGATGCTCACCTAGATATTTTTCTACAGCCATGCCACAGAGATGCTGTGCAATGTGTCTGAGGTGGAAGAGAAGCAGTTTGCAAAAAGGAGGAAGGATTTGAGATTCGCTTTTGCAGAAGTTCTCACCAACGCTGCTGCCCAACGGGGTAATACCAAGGGATGCTAAACCTGAAATGGTGGTGAGACTCAGGAACAGCCCAGATTGATGTAAGGCGGTGGAGACAAGGACAGGACTCATCCTGCAGCAGCAGCACATCCCAATGTGCCTGTGCTGGTGTTCAGCCGAAAACCCATCCACCCATGACCCTGGCTGTGCACAAGAACGGCCACCACCAGCAGAGATGGGCATGGGGATAACCCAGAACCAGGGACATTCAGACACAAACAGGCACCATTGCTGCATTCACCACCAAAACTCACCCCAAGGCTCAGTGCAGAATTAAGGGTCATGGTGAGACCTCCAGCCTCCCCCCAGGACCAGGAGTTTTACTGTGAGGAAGGCAGACCCCTTGCTACCAGGCTGATGGGGACAGTCCCCATTAGCTGATTCCTCACCTTCCTCTGCTCCATGATTAGTCTTACCCCATCAAACGCCATCTCTGGTCAGAGCACATCTATCCTGTCCCTGTTCCCTGTCCCATCCTTTGCTTCCCCCTCCACAAATGTCCTGGTTTGGGGTAGAAGAGAACCAAACCACGACAACAACCTGCTTTTCATTGGTATTGATGCAGCCCCCACCTCCAAAGGGACAGGGCATCTCTGGAGCCAGAGCAGGGCTCTCTGCACCCAGAGGCCTGTTTTCCCCAGCAAAGCTCAGCCAAGTCAGTCAAGGATTCAAAAATCTGTTTGGCTCTGGGACAGGGAGGGTCCCCCAGGGCACATCGTTCCTGTTCCTGTCTGTTCCTACCACTGGACAGACAGGTAATTTGATAATTAGCAGCCAGGCATTTACACTGGCCCCAAACCTCTGCTTATCTGGCATTTTTGGGCACCAAGAGTGAAGTCCCTGGCAGCCTCCCAAGGAGCAGGGAGAGGGAAAGCAGCCGGGGCAGCTTGCTGAGCTGAGAGCCACCTCCAGCGAAGAAGCTATCTTGCTCTCCAGGGTGAATCACACCCTTTCCTTTACCCACTGTGATTTTTCTTAATCTCAGTGGATTTCAAGTCACTTGGTGTGAATCACCTCTGCCACCGGTGACTCTTATTTGCTGGTGGATCAACAACACAACAGTTTCCTGGTGAAAACCAGAAATGCTGTAATAATGACTTTAACAGGGCTCCCTGCCCTACCTGCCAGGGATCCTGATGGAGGGCAAAGTGGTCATGCTACGATGCCACAGCCTTAAGGAAAAGGCCAGAAAATGGAGATGGGCAGTATTCCTCAGGGGTATTGGTATTGGCAACATGGACAGTGGAATTGAGTGCACCTTCAGCAAACAAGGCCCCCTGCAGTGCTGCCTCCTGCTCTGGGGCCACCAACATCAGGACATGGACCTGTTGGAGTGGGGCCAGAAGAGACCATGGAGATGCTGCAAGGACAGGCTGAGAGTTGGGGGGGTTCAGGCTGGAGAAGAGAAGGCTCCGGGGAGACTTTAGAGCCCCTTCCAGTCCCTAAAGGGGCTCCAGGAGAGATGGGGAGGGACTCTGGATCAGGGAGGGGAGCCCTAGGATGAGGGGGAAGGGTTTGACACTGAAAGAGGGGAGATGGAGCTGAGATGTGGGGAAGAACTTGTTTGGTGTGAGGGTGGTGAGAGCCTGGCCCAGGTTGCCCAGAGAAGCTGTGGCTGCCCCATCCCTGGAGGGGTTCAAGGCCAGGTTGGAGGGGGCTTGGAGCAACCTGCTGTGGTGGGAGGTGTCCCTGCCCAGGGCAGGGGGTGGCACTGGGTGGTCTTCAAGGTCCCTTCCCACCCAAACCATTCTGTGATATCACTGGAGAGTTCAGGAGAAGCCTGTGCCCCTGGGGAAGGGTGAGCAGGGGGCCGGGACACTGGGTGGTCTTCAAGGTCCCTTCCCACCCAAACCATTCTGTGATATCACTGGAGAGTTCAGGAGAAGCCTGTACCCCTGGGGAAGGGTGAGCAGGGGGCCGGGGTGGGATGGGATGTGCCATCCCTGCAGCACCGGGCTCGCCGGAGCAGCCCCAACCCTGCTATCACCAAAACCGATGCCCCAGCCCTCGGAGCCCCCCGAGGAG